CTAAACCTAAAGACAACTCTAACATCAAGTCAAATTGTGAACAATTCCAAAACTTGGTTGTAAACATCTCCTCAGGGAACAATGATTTAAAAACAATCATAATCCACCATAGTATTCCAATATTACTCAACTTAAAAAATCGATTATGAATTTCACCAGAATAATGTTCTGGAAATTCCAAGGATTAAATCTGAAACGCCTTGAACTCCTCAATTTAGTCCAAGAAAAAAAAATTGACATAATCCTACTAAATTAAACTCACCTGCTATCAAACACATAATTCAAACTTCCAAATTGTATTACATACACAACCAACAAACACWTGATCAATGGTCGACCACCAGCGGATGGATCAACTATTCTGGTAAGCCGAAAATTCAGCCATATGCTAATCGAAATCCATAAAAATTCGATTGCCAACATAATCATTCAACTGACACTAAGTCAATATAATATCCGAATGATATCAATCTATAAAATTCCGGATACTCCACTCCAAACTAAAGATATAGAAAACCGCTTATACGCTCAACAGAATTTGATAATAGCAGAGAACCTAAACGCAAGACATAGAGCATGGAACAGCTGAATAAATAACCAAGCAGAAAAAACTTTAAATAAATATCTCAACTCAAAAATTGACACAACAGTAGCCACCCCAAATATGTCAACAAGATATCCTGCGGACATCAGACGCCTACCTGATATACTTGACATTGCAAATTGCAATATTGAAAACGGGAAAAATATATTACATGCTAGAAAACATTACACAGGAACTATCCTCTGATCTATATATTCCAATACTACTAGACATTTCGTTATAGGCAGCACAAACCTATTCACCTAAACCTTTWCATGTAATCAACTGGGAATCATTAGTGAAATAAATGAGAGAGTTGATCATTTTCCCTTCCAAAAATAAGGACTAAAGACCAAATTTATAGCCTGATAATTCAACTGACGTCAACCGTTTCAAAAAAACTSGAAAATAATTTAGTCATATTCTCTGCTCGAAATAAGAAAAATGATCYACCATTCTTTATTCAAAACAATATCAAGAAAAACGGGAGTTACGAGCAAAAGATGAACAAATTTCCCTCATAAGATATCTGCTACAATCACACACAGAAAACTAATGGACCACTTTTTTGGGATCAATAGAAAACAACTTTCAAGGTTAGTCAAAGCTTTACAAACTTGATAGAAGACTATTTCGAAAAACCTCTCTAGTCCATCCACTTCAAGATCAAAAGGTAATCCTCAATTCTACCCTGAAGCTAAGATCAACCTGTTTGCACACTCAATGGAAAATAAGTTCAAAACTCCAGACTCCCGTTGCTGGATCGACAAAGTAGTTTGCGAATCCATAGAGCAGCACGATGAGGCAATATTATACAAAAAATCATTATTTTTCTCTCCCGKTGAAGTACTTAAAGCAATCCACGGACTCCCCAATAAAATTTCTCCAGTCTAGACAAGATTTCAAATTGCTCTTTGAAACGGAGTGGAAAGAAATTCACGTAGGTACTATCTTTTCCAAATATTCGATGCCTGTACCAGATTTGAATACTTTCCAAAACCATGAAAAGAATCAGTAGTCGTAATGCTACCAAAACCGAATAAGGACCCTAAAAATCTCACTAATCATAGACCGATTTCTCTACTTAATACTATGAGAAAATTACTAGAAAGACTTCTTGTAAGATTAAAAATATAAAATATACATCATGCCAAAAATCCATTCAGAGCAATATGGCTTCAGATTGTAACATAATAAGACTATACAGCTGATTAATATAATAGATTCAGTAACTGAAAACTATACATCATACACAAAAGACAAAACAGCAGCCATCTTTCTGAACATCCAGAAATCCTTTGATAAAGTCTAGCAYGAGATCTTATATTTAAACTACTAAGCATGGAGTTCCTCAACAACTTATCAACCTCCTCCGATCATTTCTCCAAGACAGAACATTTAAAATCAAAATTGGCAACCTATTGTATTCCTAGATAAAAAAAAAATACCTCGTAAGTGCAAGCGTCCCACCAGGGTTATGTCTATCGCCACATCTATTCTCTGTCTACATCAATGATATACCTAAAGATGTAAAAACCAATATCGACCTCTTCGCAGATAATACGGTTTTTCTACGCTTCAAGCGCAACACACAATGCAGCAATAAAAATAGTACAAAGACAAATAKACCTTGTCGATCCTTGGTTCGTGCAATGGAAAATAACGATTAATCCGTCAAAAACAAAAGCAATCATGTTCATAATCAAATCAATGTATCAAGCCACAACCTTACATTTTGAAAATACCCAGATTTACTGGTCCAATACAGTCAAATATCTAAAAATAACCATTGAGTCCGAACTGAATTTCGTCAATCACATAAATACAGCGTTACGGAAAGCATCTGAAGCAAAACTTTCACTGTTTCCTCTCATCAATGAGCACAGTCCACTTCCACTCAAAACTAAACTCTAAATTTTTAATATATATATATATGTGACTCATAATTTTGTATGCCACTCCTGCGTGGACCGCAAACATTTCCAAATCAAGTTGGACAAAGCTCAAAACATTCCAATCCAAAACTTTGAAAATGTTAACATGGAGCGACTAGTTCGTTTCAAACCACTCAGCAAGAATGTCATTAAACATACCATCGATCAGAGAGGCCGTAAATATTGAGAAAAATAAAATAACTCAACGTTTTCAAAATTATAATTACAAACACATTTCAACCATAGTAAATATAAAAAGCCATAAAGAACTATTCAAAAGAAGACCCCTTAGATTAACATAAATATCAATTAAAATTACACAATACTTTAACACTTACATCAATCTCTCTGGAAGAAGCTTAAGCTTGAAACAGAGTAAAGCAACACAAAGCAAAGCAAAACTTAATTAACTACATAAAAACATTTTTATTTAAAAAAATATGTAGAGTTATCAATAATAAGTAATATTAAATAGCTAATAATAATTTATAAAATGTAACAAGACTCAAGAATGTTTCTATAGACATATAGTTATACATTTATTTTATAATAGGTATTATATATTACATTTTTACTAATTTTAATAGTATACTACCTATCTTAGTTAATATGTAAGACATAACAACTTTTTTTATGCAGTCTGCAGTAGTGTCATTTCAGTTTTTAATAGAGGGGAAAAAATGTTGACCAGCACAAATAAGTAACTTAAAAGAAGCGGCAAGCTATACCTTCAAACACATATTTATTATTATGTTTCTGCTTCATTTACCTTCATAAAACAAAAAACATACACAATATATAAAAAAAATGTATACACCAAATTTCACGAAAATCCACAAATGTGTCTTAATATACATTTTTTAATATAAAAAATTTATCATTGTGACAATAATTTCTTAATACACAATATAACATCTCTCATAACATTATAAAAATAAGAATGTTTTTTGCTTATAAAATATAATAATAGCAATAACAACAAGGCACTAACCCATCGGGCTACTTTTAAATTCGGACAGGGGAAAATGCCCACMTACCTAACCCAAAAGACACCACTGATATATATTGTCATAGGTAGTATTGAAATATAAATAGTTAGTACAAAATCATACTTAAACTCTGACTTAAATAATGTACCTAAGTCAAATAAAAATTACAATAATTGTTAACTTAAGGTATTAATTATTATTTATTAATTAAGTTTGCAAAATTGTCTTAACAATTAGTTACAACTTATGTTATATAATAGTTGTATATTAAATGTTGGTATCAAAATGTGATATAAAAATAATTAATAGATAAATCACAAGCGCAGCGATCGACTTTTTAATACATAGTTAACTGAAGTTTCTACACATTGGTTTCTCATAAGTGAAGCAGATCCATAGTACTGAAATTATGGATACACCACTGCTCCGCCCACACAATATCMTTTCTAACAAAGCAGGTTATTTTTAAAAGGCTTCAGAATTTGACTAATACAGTATACTAACTTCATTTATTTTATCAATTTTAATATTTACAAAAATGTAATGTAATCTAGGTAATCAAGAACAATATAAGCCAACCAACAACTTATTCTAACATCAAAATAATATTCAAATTACAGAGCTCTTCTGTAAAACTTTTGATTTCTGAAATACTAAATAGGTACACAACTGTAAAAAAATGTTGATATACAAAAAACCAAACTTTTTCTAAGATATTGTAAAAAATTACAAGCTGAAATTATTGCAATAAAAAGACAATAACTGATTTTAAGTAAAATATCTGTACTAGTAACATGTTAAACAATTATACAGAATAGCTATTAAAAATGATAGTGAAATATTAGATAAAATTGTGTAAAAAAAAAAATCATTTTCAGTAATTTCACAATCCACCAACAAATAATACTCTAAAAGTGAATTTAATTGAATTTTAATAAAGTGAACGTTAAGCATTAAATTAATCACCAGCATTATGTGTGACAATATTTCAAATTCAAATGTATACATATCCAATAAAAAATAAGTAATATTTACAGAAATCTAACATACAAAATTATTTTGAAGAAAACAAAACTAATACGATTCTAGTATTCACCTAAGTTAAAAACAAGAGAACTTGGCCAAAAACTGAATAGATTAAAATGAGGAAGTAAAGAAATGGTTGATATTTATTACTATTTGTAGAAATACTTTAACCAAGGRATCTCAAAGGTCTTTCAATATAAAGTTCCAATTTTGTAAACTTATTACAGGGGGTAAAATTAGAAATTTTATCAGAAAATCAGTAATAAAATGTTCCTTCTAGGATGAAAACATGGATCTTGATGAGCATATTTTACTACTTATACAATGATTAAACCAATTTGGTAGTACTAACTGGTTTTTACTTTTTTTATATATAAAGGTAGTAGACTATAACCTACATAACTTGTTTTAAATTATACTTGGAAAATTGAATAATTCGATACATCAAAATATTGATATTAAATTCAATAAACTAAAAATGGTTTTTTTTTATTAAAAAGACATAAACATATGCTATAACTGACAAGTATAAATTGAAAGTTAAATTTAGTTGGTTATTTACGACTTTTTTTTGATAGTTTTTGAAAAGCAGGAAGACTTGCTAATGGCATTTTCATTGTGTACTTAGTTGGATCATCTTTCAATAGTGTTGCTCCTACTACTTTCATCAGCAATGGCAATCTAAAATAATTTAAACTATGATTAATAAAAAATATATATATATTAAATGATACTGAAAAATCTGTGAATAATGTGAACAAATCTATAATCTTAAATTTACAATTTAACTAAAATCTGAAAGCATTAAATATAAAATCTTATCATATTTTGCCCTGTAAATACACATGGTCATAAAATGGGCTAAAATGTTTATGATAGTTCCATATTTTTTTTTTTAAATTGTGCATATTCAAAACCAAGTTATAAATTTGATCTGTRTGGCATATAATCAGATACAYTCAATTTTATTTTGAATACTTAGAAGTTTTGTGAATTAGTGCAAATTTATAATATAAATACACATTTTGCATAATAATTATGCATATTTCAGTGGAAACTAAAAAATGTTATWAAAAAATAATTAAAATTTTTATCATGTAAATTCTAAATTCATTTTTTTTTATTACAATTTAAATTATTTATAAATATTATAGAAATATAAGATTACCTTCTTTGACTACTTGGTGGAAGAAATGGTGATATCCAACTTAAATCAAATGTATACATGTTGATTAACATCATAATTATAATTATATGACATACAGCTTTATCCTTCATTTTAGATGTTAAATCTCTAGAAAATTAAAATGTATACAGGAAATTAAATGCATATATAATTTTAGTTATAATTTTTACCGTCCAGTTACACTGTATTCAACAAAATTATCCAACACTTTAAAATTTATTACTTCACAATTTGGGTAAATTTCAATATTTCTATAGTTCAAATCAGCAGATTTCAGTCTTAACAATTCAATCAATCCATCAGCCAAGGAAAGCAAGCAGATATTTTGAACAGTTTTATGAGATAACCGATTCAAATTTGTGATGAAAAATGTTGATAAACTGCTAAACAAAATACATAATTCCAAATAAGACTTGAATCTCAAATATTTACTTAGATAGTGATAAACACAAGAGTAAGACTAAAACATGTATTAAAATAAAAGTTAAATTTATTTTTAACTCCATATAAAACTCTTTTACCAGTTTCATCTCAACAATAACCAAACTGAAATAATATTCAAATAAAGTTTTTCAAGGTACTGCTGACACATAATMATAACATTATTTTACTGATTTGACATTTTTACTTATTATTCATAAATAATATGCAACTTATCCACAATATAGTTAATATGGTCCTTGAAAAAAAATTACAAGGCCTGATATATTATAGATCAGGATCTATAACATACTACCTCACACATGACAAATCAAATAGATATTATAACAGCAACTTGTGATACGCATGTCTGGACAATTGAGCCCAAGCAAGTTAGCAAGTAATGCAACTGCATGTGTTCTCAAGGAGGGTGGGTGTATATTACTACAGGTGTCATGGAGAGGTTTATACATTTATAAAATAAGCTATAGTCTATAATAATTAATTTCCTTGAATTATAGTGATTAATAAGTAAAAATATTTTTTATATACAAAAAATTAGGTGGGTGGGTGACTAAATTTTTTTAACTGTACATGCTATTAAAATACCTCTACTCACCACTGCTGTCTGGGTTAATAGCATTTAGCCCACTGGCTGACTGGTGTTGAAGTCATTGTTGGTTTTAGTAATGAGAAAAGGTAAAATGCTTACGTCATAGTACAAAGCTGGGGGAGGATGGATGCATGGTTTGTTTCAAAACCAGTATATTGCTGACACACCTATTTTATTTCTCATGAGTGAGATAATAATCTCACTCAACTTGAAATGTAAAAGTATTAATTACAATTTTAATACCTAATTAACCATTTAAAAATGTTTGAATTAATATTTTAAAACTAAGATAACCAGGTATTTAATTCTTAATTCTTATAAAATTATTTAAATAAATTTTCTTAAACTTAATAGTCAATAGATAATTTAATTTTCATGGTAACTTACTCTTCATTTTCAGAAGATATTGGTAACATACTGATCACTTCTTTTGCATAATCAGTCATTAAATCTATTTCGTTTTCAAGCAACAATGTAGAAACTGGATAAACTGTTTCTAATTTACTGGATAAACGGTTACATCCCAGTGGTAAATATATTAAAAATTCACTCATCTTAGAAAATGATGATTGTAATACATCAGCTATAAAAGAAAGCATAATAAGATAAGATTATACACTGGATAAGAACTTATTTAGAAATCCAYACATACAAGAACAAGAAATATTTTCAAAGACATCTGTTGAAACATCAACAACATTGTCAACTTTAGACCTGGAAACACGTGATGACTTTTTAGTTCCAAATACTGAGTTAAATTCTAGACTTTTATCAGTCAATGTTTGGTCTTCAAATGTTTTCATTTTAAAGTAATCAGGCTTTTTAAGATAAGTTACATTGGCACCATAAACTGAAACCTATAAAATATAATAATAATATGTTCTTAATTTACAGTTAACAATAATTATATTTAAACAAAAAATAAGAATTGAATATCTTGTACATTCAAAGAATAAAAATAATTTTTTTATTAATAAAATAATAACTTAGGCAGATATACCTACTAAACCTACCTTATTTGTCTTTTTATTCCTCAAAATTAAGTATTTTTTTCCGTTTTCCTTTCTACTAGGATCTTCTTCTTCAACTGTACCACCGTGTTCATTGAATATTTTTAAYACAGGTCTATTAGATGTTTTCTCAATTGCCATACCACAATCTAAAAACGTTGATGAATTCAGATGACCCACTTCTGTAATGGCTAGAAATATAAACATAAATCTGTCAACATATAACTCAACACTCCATTAGGTTCTAACATAGGTATGTGGAGGAACTCTGTACACTTGGATGATATATTGTACGCATATGAGCATGTCATAGATAATTTTAACCATTGTTTTACTGATAAAATGTATTTAATGAAGTACATCAATAGATTCGGGTTTCGGGATAAGACTCACCGATAACTGGTGGTACGCTGGGTTCAGCGTAAACGTGTTCCACGATGGCGTCCATAGTGCACAGCCGTGATTGGACTTTCCGTACGAGAACTAATTGCAAACGACGTGTTGAAATGCGTTCGTCTAAAATATTACTATGATTGTCTACACAAAAGCAATACAATCATTCACATTTGAAGTTATATGTATCKTGCAGTCGACAGAGTTAAAATTCACTCATGCAGACCATGCAGTTGCTCGTGGCCCGGCGGCCGGCAGTCGTCTTATCAGTGCTCGCGAACTCGTATCATCTCCAATGAAAAGATAATGAATGTTATCAGTTTTTATCGAAAAACCCATCAAGTATCCCAAGTAATATACAATACAAATTACAGACAATTACAATACCCATGTAGAATATGATGCCTATAGGCTTTATGGTATGGCGAACTCAAGAATTTTCATAGCCTATTATATTTTTCTATGACCAACCACCCACACGGCACACACGAGCTATTCTTGAACAATGAATACTGGGTGTATATTATCCACAGAGTAAGAATATATTATCTCCTTCTTATAACAGTGTCCTATAAAAAACATTACCTGGGGAAATTGACTCTCTTACGCAATTTTAAAACCATATTATAAGACTCATTAAAAAAACATTAAATGCTATTTAAAAAAAATTACCCCCTTTGCCACGCCACTGTATGTCTGTATATCTTAATGTCTTATGGCTAGGTACTGAGCGATAGGTACAGACCAATTTACCATGTCATGATAATAACTATTAATTCTCATATATAATAATGAAGAAATTGCTAGAAATTACAAAAATCGATAATTTCCTACTGCCAACAATAATTAACAAGTACCTAATAAACCAAATAAAATTTTAAAAAATTGTGCTACTTATTATAGCTAGGATACAGGGATTAAGTTATATGCAATATTTCTATATGTAACTCTTGTCGCGTGTAGAAATAGAACTATTTTTTTATAGTTTCAAAGATAACGAATATTTATTRTTATGTATTATATAATTCTTGAACAAAAGAATTTTCATAATTTACAATTATACTAATCAATTTAATGGCTAGTACCTAGATATTGAAAATAAAATACGATGGGTAATGAAATACAAAACGTACTCGCGTATTTCAATATTCAAGAATCTTGAATCAAGATATTTRACATAACGATAAAAGTCTGCGTCGATGCAAGTCAAATTTCGCAAAGTAGAAGTTGCAAGATCATTGCTTAACTCAGTATAAATATTGAACGCAGTTTAGTTCCCCCAAGACAATTTGATTTTTTTTTTATCGAAACTTATGTACCTATCTCAAAGAGTAAAGAACGATGGTGCAATTAGAAACGACTGGAGCCGATAAGCAAAGGGTGTCACAAAATACTTATATTACTTTAACTGGCCATCGAGTCTGGTGACCGGAGCCAATAGGCGTAGGGAGCAACTATTTATTATACACTAACTTACTCCCTTTGCAAATTTCAAAAACCATATTATTTGCATAAACTTAATACTCTTTTTATGTATATTTATGTAAGGTAAGTATATTTTTTTGATAATCCCAATGCCTTATACTGACGATTGCGGTTCCACGACAAAATATCCCTGAAYCTGCAAAATATTCCATGACAAAATATCCCTGACAAAATTTGATATAATAATTATTATAAACAGTTAACTGTTGTGATTAGAAGTAATAACTGCACTTTATCTAATATATGTAGGTAGTATTATTCATTATTTTGATAATGTTATTATAGTGTTTCATTTTTTATCATTACCAACAGTGTGTGTCGTTTACAGTCTTAAATCAAATTACTTAACTAACACTTTATTTAATTAAAAAATCCTAGAATTTATCAAAAACCGATAAACATACCATTTCAGTATATTTTTAAAAATGTTTTAACTAATTATTTGTATTACATAAATGTATTAATATCTTTATGTAACTTATATTATAATAATAAGTATAATCATTTTTGACGAGAAACATACCATTTCAATATATTTTTTTAAATGTTTTAACTATAATTGTTTGTATTATATAAATGTATTAATATCTTTATGTAACTTGTATAAAAAGGTTTAAATWTTTAATTAATAGCTTCGCGGGACATTTTGACCGGGATATTTTGGTTTAGGGATATTTTGACGTATCACCACTGATGAAGGTATATAATAAGTAATAAAAAAAAATAAAATTTATCTCATTTATTAACATGCATAAAAAATTAAAATAACATTCACACAAATATAATTAAATATATTTATGAATCGRCCCATATTATATAATAAAAAATGTAATCATAATGCATCACTCTAGATCCTGAGCAGTTATAACAGATGTTATAAACTGACATTGAAGCTTTTTTCTCTTTTGGATAGGTAAGTCTTTCATTAATGTTAATAAGTAATTTCCAAAAGCAATATCAGAATCACCTAGATCCTCATTTARTTCTGTTGATAATGAAGGCCTTGACATTTTATGCTCATTTAACAAGGGTCGTGGATARTTATGATCATTTTCTAGAAACATAAAATTGTAATTATTTAACTGAATACATTTTTAAATTAATACTTATAATATGCAATAATACACAATAAACTTATTGAGTGATATTGCTTTCATATATAGGTACCAAAATAAAACACTAATTATACTAATTTATAAGTAAAAATATTACTAATAATACATTTGGTAGTATAAAAATAATTAAAATATCTTAAGTAACTGTTATAATGTATTTATACACAATATCACAAAATAAATATTTAAACCATACTATTTCAAATGTGCATACTTTCTTTTCTTTTTTGCTCTTTAGCAGAAGTTAAACTTTGAGGAGTGTCTTCAGCAGGATTATCTACATTTGAATCTATAATATTAGTAGTCCTAAAAATATTTGGATTAATAATAAAAAAATATTAGTAAGTATTTACAAGTTTTAAGAAAGCAAATAAGCTACCTTTTATCATGATATTGTGTTATAGCTTCATCCAAAAATAACAATTGATTGTAATGCAACCATTTTGATCTTCTACCTATTTTTGAAATTCCATTTTTTTTTTGTTTTTGCTTTTCACGTACATATTTTTCTTTTAAGTATTTCCATTTTTTTTTTAATTCATCAATTGTAATCTGACCTTTAACATAACAAACTATTAACATGCTATATACAGTATTTTATATTACAAATAGTCTAATATTGAGAGCATAATATGATATATGCATTTTTTTTTTTTTTTTACGGTATATTAAAATTGTGGCAATTGTAAAATAAATCTCTGCAAAAAATCCTCAGAAACATTATATTAGACGGGAACTTTAAATTTATTTAAATCTAAATAACTTTGTAAATTATATTCAGTGGAACTTCAATTATCCGAATAGAAATTAATCGAACAAAAAAAAAATTTTTTTAATAACTCGTAATTTCTAATTAACAATCTTATTTTGCCGTTCCTCTTAATCTTCAGATAAAATAAAGAATGGGTATGTTATATTCAGAGCTGGGATTTATATGTAATAAAAARCCAAAAATATGTACAGTAGAAATCGGTTATAACGAGTTTCAAGGGCCAGGTAGTTTTTCTCGTTATAACCRGTAGCTTGTTATATGCGGTTAGAACGAGCATTTGTTGTAACCAATTAATAACGGGAAATACAAAAATAAAACCGACGACTTTTTTTATTGGACTTATAATCGAAATTAATACTGAATTTATACATGTATGCACATATGCATAATATACATTATTTATACAGACATTTATTATTAATTATTATAATTGGAGATTTATTACTTTATTAATTATCTATAAATTTTACTTAAACATAATTATAAAAAACTTGAATTTWATTTCTTAAAATAATCTTTGATCGAACTTTGCTTCATTTATTTACTGCTGATCGATGTTTCTAATAAAGACAACGCTTTTCTATAGCATCTGTACCTTCATATTTTGTGTAATAAAATCTTTCTAGTGTTAGACCTAAATAATAAATTTTACCTAAATAATAGTAAATAATAAAAGTTCGTTTTATTTTACTCGTTATAGCCGATAACTCGTAATAATCATACTCGTTGTAAACGTATATTTTAACATACAATCATATGAGCTTGTGCCGGGACCTAACGTTTTGCTCATTGTAAGCAGTATCTGGTTCTAAGCGATGCTCGTTATAGTGATTTCTACTGTACATATATATTATATTGTAATTAAAATTGCCAAAATATGTAGTATAAAATAAAAAATATGTACCTACTAAGAAAAATTTTAAAAATATGTTAAAACTTTAAATTAAAATACGATTCTAAATAATTTTTGAATAATACAATTTATTGTTTTTTACGTCTAATTAATTTAATTTAAAAAATATAATAATTTTTGGTAAAAAATATGTTGTTAAATTKAAATACAATCGATGTTTAATCAATTTAAAGTGAAACAACRATCAACTATATATTRTTTTAAATTTTCAAAATTAAATATACGTTAGGTGAAGATGTTTTCATAACCACGCARACACAAGAACTGGTAGTCTGATAGGTACTTTTGTAAATTCGTAAATATATTTTGTCACATAATTGTTGAACATAAAGTATAATCTAAGATTATTAAGGTATGGTTATCGAAYAGAAACAGATAAGATTAACTAAAATCAAGTTATTAATATTTATTTTAACCTACTTATTTCATATATACATTGTTATACACTTACAATTTGCTGAGTACCATTACCAAAATATAAATGTTAAATATTACTAAACCACCGAAATTGTCAAAATTTACAAAATATGTAAAAAAAAAAGCGAGAATTTTACAAAGTAAGTAAAAATATGTATTTATGACAAAATATGTAAAATAAAATATTATGTCTTATTTTATTGCAAATTACGTGAAACAAATTTATCATTTGCAATAATTAATTTATCATGTTTTACTAAAAATATGCATTTACATACAAATCCCAGCCCTACTAATATTTTTAGTCAGTAAGTTGTTGTCTTATYGTCATACTGTTTTGTCAGTTAATCATTATACTTATAACGAGTAGATTTTCATGTAATAATGCCGTCTATAAGAAAACGTGTTGTGCTTACCATGAAAGAAAAAGTAGATATCATTGCGCGATAGACAAAAGGTCGAGTATTGATCTAGTGTTGGAAGTTARAACCATACAATTATTTTTTTATTGTAACAAATTTCAAATTTTATTACATACATATAAATAATAAATATATACAATAATATAACTTTGGAAATGTCATATGCCAATTATCCGGGTAATTGAAGTTCTACTGTGTTATAAATACAATTAATATTGTATATTATATTAAAATTATCTTGTATCTTAAAAATATGATATAGCTATAAACCATATTTATCTAAAATAAAAAATGTACGGCACGATACCACAAAGGTTATAATAATAATAATTATTATTATTATTATAATTGTAAATAAATTAAAATTAAATATGATTTTAATATTACATATTCATTRCAGCTCTTTCTAATTATGAGCAATTGTTTTTAGAAAATCTTCAATATTTATTTCATTATTTTAAATTAACAAAGATAGTTTATTCCAATTTTAAGTAAACTGTTAAATGGCTAAAGTTTAATCATCAGGAATTTTTTTCAACAATATTCTAAAATTCTAGTTTAAATCCTTRCCTTGCAGTTCAGCATATACTTCATTCCAAAGTTTGTTTTTAATTGATTCCGACCTTTCTGACATCATCATTTTATGATCAAACAACGGCGGACGATCCTTAATAGCGCTTATTAAACCAGAAGTCAAATTGAAATCTTTTACTCTGTCTTTTACTTTGTTATCTCCAACGTCATCATCACTTGATAACAGCAATGCTCCTTTTTCAACGGGCACAGCCGGTAAAATCTTTCTAAATTTTTCTAACAAAAATACAAATTAAAATATATAAAATGATCTTATTTTAAATTGTTCATTAAATAATTAATATTTCAGAGATTGGTTTAAAAGTATGTTTTCATAATGTCATTTTTTAATGATGAAAGGATCATAATACTATAATTAAGTAAATGTTGCACATGAAAATATACSAATAGCATTMATTAATTATATATATTAAAATTTTATRTTTTTAATGCTGTAGTTAACATTAATTAAATTAAAATTAGAAAGATCTAACTAAGCACACAACAATATATCAACTTCCCTAAAATCTACCACTACACAGTTTAAAACAATCTTTTGACTTAAGTTAACTTAATAAAAATATTATTACTAGGTTCCTCAACAGCAATAACTACAGGTAAACATTCATGTTCAGATTTAGCAGGATAATAGACCGAACACTTTTCACATTTTTCAACCTGAAACATAGACAAGAATACTAAAATACCTGAAATAAATAGCATAATATAAGGATAGTAAAGATACATAGAATTAGGAATAGATAATATCATAACAAATTTTTAATTTATTTAATATTATTAGTAAAGTATTCGAAAAAAATCAAAATAAGATAATAGWAATAATTACCTGTACGCGTGTAAATGGCGCCATTTTAGATAGTTGCCTACTTCATATATTATAAAAATATGAATATACTATTGTATAGTAATAAAAATAATATATTATTATTTAATAAAAAAAATAATGTAAATTACAAAACTGTTATTCTGCTTTTATACTTATACACAATGTAAATGCGTAATAAAAACAATTAAGTAAGTAAAACTTAGTATAATATTTCCATAATACTTAAAAAATATCACCTAAAACTGAAGTTTGAATTTTATCATGAACCAAAAATTCAACCTGAGCAACCGCACGGAACACGGAAAATGAAAAGAAATCCTACTAGCGTCTTGGTGGTATCGTTTGTTAACACATTACACCATGAAAAATAATCAATACCTAGCGGTAAACATTGGAAATGTTTGATAACAGAGAAGTTCAGACGCTCTGACCACGGAAAAAAAAAATATTATGATCAATATGTGGTCTGCTTAGTTTGAATAACCAAAACCGTGGTTGAGTTTGTTCATTAGGTATACGACGTATACGTGTACTATTATAATAATAATACGGAGGATCAATTTATGCTATACCTAGTTCATATTATTGTGGTGGCGTTCGTATTGAAAAACCACGGAATAAAAAATATTATAATTAATTATTTATTTATTATTTATAATACTGTGGTAAAACGTTGGCACAATGTCCTATYTTYTATGAAGTATCGTCGTCTATGGTTCATATAATAAGTAATAACTTGGTATATTAATGTATATTAAAATATTATAAAAGATACCGAGATTTATATACCACACTACCGTGGTACGTCCGCGTTTTCTTATCGAATTTCTCTGATAATGCGTGTGCCATACTGCCGTACTCGGCGTTCTCCCGTCAGCCGTAATTCTTAAGCGTTATGTCTTATTGAAAAGTGTGCGACTCCGGGGACTCGTGACTACTCCATTGATTGGTTGTGAAAGACGAATGATAATTATGTTTAGCGTTTGGAGTTAATTGTTATTTGTTAAYCATTTGTTGTTGAGTGTCAACTACAACTAATCACTTTATAATTTACTGCATTTTCAGTATGCCTATAACTTAGACTTATTACTAGGTACTAACGCAGTAATGCTGTCGATTGTTTTCTTCCGCTCGTAGTTGTGAAATAATTACATAAAAATATGTCACTTGAAACTAGTCACACCGATTWTAATCTTCAGATACTTCAAATCCCTTCAATTTGAAATTACACCTTAACAAAGTTATTTTGATTCAATCGTGTCTGTGGTGGTTATGTGGTCGGATCCATCGTCAACAAACATGGCTTATGGGAACCATTGGATGAATATGAATCCAGCTATGTATAAAAACATGACAAATGATCAAGGTACGTCAGACATGGTATAATACGTTTTGTAAAGGTTATATTTTGGACAAATTTACATMTTTTAGTGGACTGGGCGAGTTTGGCTCAACAATGGATCAAAATGAAAGAAACTCCACCACCGATGTCCCCCGGACAACAATTTAGGATTCCGACTTCTGATCATACTTTGCCAGGTCAGCATGTAGAGCCTCAGAATCCTTCAAACATAGCTGCAGCAACAAATACAACATTTAGTGATCATAATATCACCAGCCCTGTTACACGTTAGTAGATTACCAAATACTGGTGTGAAAATCGTCTGTAACCATTTTTTTTTTTTAGGAAGTAATATTGAAAAACCTAGTTCTTGGAATACATGGACTTGGCAACAACAACAACAGTGGAATTGGAATTGGGCATCTTCGGCAACTCTACCAACTAAAGCACCTATTATGGAGTCTGTTAATCCACTTAGACCCCCTTTTATTACACCTCCATTGTTATCTGAACCACCTCCATCTTTCCCTATGATGACACCAAACAAACCATTTATACCCAATGTATGTTTTTATGATTTTAAATTTATAAATTATTTTTACTTAATTATAATTTTTTTTAGAATTATTGGGCAGGGCCCAATACTACTGTCCCGCCGCCTACTGAACCAGATCAGTGGAGTAAACTTAACATGATTCCCAATATGGATGATAGAACTCAAGATCCATCATTTATGGGTATGTGGGAATTAATTTTATTTTTAGTGTTGATAATTATGTTTACCATAAACGGTATAGCATTATAATTTATAACACACAATATCTAAAATGTATAAAACCTTATAACGACTACAGCATACACAAACATTTTTTTTTACTTTGATATTTATAATTATTCGTTAGGAAGAGGTCAGCATCTTTTTGCTCTCTCTGACCCAAGTGCAACTTGGAACATTTTATGTTAAACATTTAAAATAGTGATTTAAAATAAAATTGGAGTGAATAACCTATTATGTAATTTAGAGGTAAGATTATTATCCTGGCTTATTATTATATTTCAAATTTAAAGCGAGTTATGAGTATTTTAAAATTTGAAATTGTATATCTTAATAACTTGTAACTTGCTTTAAAATGAAAATGTAATAAAACGCCTTTGAGATGCTCTAGATAATAATCTTACCTTGACATTTTATAAGAAGTAATTTCACTCTAATTTTAGAAATTATTATGATTATAATTGGGGCTCTGATTTATATGCTCTAAAAACCTCAGATATATGCGTTATAAAATATTCATTTTTTTCTTATTTTGTAGGAATACACCCTATAATATAAAAGTTTGCATAAAAAATTGATTAAAAAGTTTTTTATTTAAATTATTTTTATATGTTTATATAATATAATACAGTAAAATTATACATGTTAACAGGGTTTCTGTCTTGGTGGGGTTAAAAAAATTTAATTGAATTAGATTAAAGATAACTAACAACATGAACGTAACAATATACTATTTAATACTGAACCAAGCAACTCAGATAATAATGTTGTATAGTGTATACTGTATACATATCGATTTTATTAGTTTTTAATATCATTGTAGGTACACGCTCGTATATTGATTATCTATGGGTATCGACAATCATGTTATATTTCCATCTTAGTGAGAGTTCTCATCAAATTTCATAACAAAAATGTGTCTGTTTCCGGCTTGGCAGGGTTTCCGTCTTAGGGGGATAAAATTATATGTAATTTGAAAAGGGACCAAAAACATTTTCCGCGTAGTACCGGGRTTTCCGTCTTACTAAAGGTCCGTCTTAGTGGGGTTTTACTGTATTATATTTATATGATTCATTTTTAGAATTTTAAATATAAATAAATTGAATCAAATGAAAACCTACTGAATAACAAACTTTTCCTGATAGGTGTCAGATAAGAAAAGAAAACGACTGTCAAATTACATAGATTATAAATATTACTATATATACAATATTTTAATCAATATAGACAAAATATTACATAACATGCATTTAAAAGCTATATGTATGCAATAAAAAAATTTTGAAATACAGAAATATACAGTACATGTCAAAAAAATTACAAACTATGCAAAAGAAAACTTTGTATTTCAAATCTAATGATTATAATTAAAACTTGTAGCCTACCTAGATATTTTTTGGACTGTTTAGGAAAAACATACAAATACATATAAATTCAGGTCATAATTATAATTATTATTGTGAATGTCAATTTTTTTATTCTACATTAAGCTATTAAAGTATTTACAGTTTAAATATTATACTTCAGTTTAACAAGAAAATACCACAAAAATATATATCTTTATTGTAAAAAAATCTCAGATGCATATCAAATA